CTTAGAATTTGTTCAGTTTCATGGCAGCCTTTTACGTTTTGAATCACGTGGTAAAATGGGACCTCCTTTTTATGGGGTTATTCAGTGAATTTAAAGCCCTAATATGCAGGGATGACTCCGTCTCCTGACGGAGAACATGTCTCCTCTTCAGTAACATAAATCAGAAATAAAAACATTTGCCTGCTAGAGGGAATGGAAGAAACTACCATCCCAAGCCAACACATACCAAATGACTCCATTAGGACCTGCCATTGTTTCTTCCCCCCAGATTTAATGGTCTGGCTGGCAAGTTAATATGCTGAGGAGGTCACCTCCAAGGTGTGAATCCACCCAGAGACCTTACCCTGGCAGTGGAAAGCAGTCTCAGAAGAAAATATCAAAGATTTTTTCTGTGAAGTCAGCACCAAAGCATCCCAGCATCTACATAAACAGTTTAATATAATTGTATAAACTAAGGAACGAGAAAGAAATTCTCAAGCTGTCTGTCCAGAAAAATCACGCCTCAGTAACCTAGTTGGCTTTTTTGAAGAATAGGAAGGGTATCCATTTCTAAAATAAGCTTTTTGAACACTGGAAGCCTATGACAAGGAATTTCCAGAAACAAGCAACAGGAACAGTCCATAATCTGAGTTTCTCTCTATAAAGAAGATACTTCCTTCAAAAAGAGGTGCTATGGTTTCAGGCACATGTTCCTTCTGTACTTCTACACCACTGAGTCTTCAGCTTGAAGTCTCAGGTGAAGGTCTAAGTGAAGTTCATTATTAACAATATATCTGACCTGGCAACTCATGGATTCAGCCAGTCCAGACTTCTTGGACAGCCTCAGGATTATCCAGCAGTAAACCTAGATATTTTGAAGTTTTTGCTTTGTTTGGATGCATCTTAAGGTTACAAAAATAAAGGAGATGGCGCTTCCAGGCCGCTTTATTGATTTCACAATAAGAACTATCCAAGCAAGGCATTTGTTCTTGTGATCCCGCAGTTTGATCTGCATGTGTAGCATTGTGTTAAAGTCAATAAGAGTTCACAAATGAGCAGCTCTACCAGCTGTTCCTTAAGGCAAAACAGTCACTGACAAAGAACACACAAAAAGAAAAAAAAAAAATTTCTCTAGTATCTGTTTCAAAATTCAGCACTCACTGTCCACAAGTTATCATGAAAGACAAGAATGCTCAACAGCAGGCAACACTGATCCCTACCTTGTCATTATTTCAGCTGCATAGGAAAACAGGCAAGATGGAAATAAATATCTCTGAAATAAAGGGTGTTGTTTCAAGTATGGACAATGCCTGTAATGGAAGAAAAATAAGAGAGTATTTGGGAAAAAAAGAATGCTGAAGAATGAAAAAATCTCAAAAATTGAGCAACACTTGACAGTTCCACCACTGTTAGAAATTCTTCTTAAAGATTAATACACCACATGGGCTAAAAGTGTTATAGCAAAAAGCTAGTTCCTTTTCAGTTTTAGCAAGTCAGTCTATAAAATAAATAACGAACTCCGCTTATATACCCTATTCAATATATGTTACAGGTAAAAGCTTAAGTATGCTGGGACAGAACTGAGAGATTAAATAAGTGATTTGAGGGGAGATAATGGATACAATGAAAGAAAGATGTGCAGTTTGGAAATAGGACAGTTATTTTCTTTGGACAGTCCATCCTGAAAAGCTTTAGTAAAGTCACCAACACTCACATGGAAGATAAAAAATGCCTACACAGATACTTTAGGGATAAACTGATGATCATTCAGAGAGTTGACCGGCAGGTTTCACCAAACATGACATAAAATTAGCTTTCAGTTTCCTAAGAAGACTTACAAAAACAGAGATAAGGCAGAGTATGCTGTAGATCTTCCTGCTGTTTTACAAGGAGCAATAGACACTCACCAGATAATTACCCACCACTTTACGATGGCTGTCTTAGTCGCATTTCCCGAGAAGACTGCCTTTCTGAATGAGGCTAAGACGATCAATGCATGCCAGAGCCATCTGTGGTTCAAAAAGGAAATAACTCTTCTGCTGCTCTTGGAATGTTTGGTTGGATTTCTGCACAAGAGACTCAAAAAGGAAAGACGGGAGTGGGGAATTTTTTTTTTTTTTGCTTGGGCAAGGGAAGAGGAGGAGGTTGGTTGGTTGGTTGTATTCCCCCCCTGCTCCCCGAGAGCCCTGACCTCCACCAACATTTTCTGGTTTTATTCCTAGAATGTAGACAAGACAAAAATATTGCACAAAGCTATACATGAGCATGCTAGAGAGATCCAATTCACATGTAAACACTGTGTAAGGATATCTGGACACAGAGAAGGAATGTGAGGAACTCTATATTGAAAACAAAGTAATCTTTATTTACTGGGGAAAGGAAAGCTATAAAAGATAAATTCAAATGTACCAAGAATTGCAATTGAAGAAGACCATAGTCATTAACGATGCCATTTCAGCTACACTTTTATTTTGATGTGCACATCATGTGCTACAGCCTCAGAAAATACCCTATTGAGATGTTGATCTTATAAATAAAAATAAATAAGACATGAAGCTAAATTCCTGCTATAAATCCAAACGAAAATATTTTTGTAAGTAGAATATCCTGGTAAACATTTCTGGACTTGAAATTCATTAAAGATGGAGCTCAGAATATTTCAGGTGGGCAATACATATTCAGGAAAATCTCAGCATAAATGTACCTTTCCAAACCTTCAGTTAATTTAAGGGGAATTAAAAACCACAATGATTCCACAACTGCTTACACAATGAAAATTTTATATATGAGAAACGCCAAGAGGTTCACTCACAATTCCTAGAATCATGTCATGGGGGGATAAAAAAAATTAAAATGCATACTACAGGACTGAAAGCTAGGTTTACACTAAAAACCTAATCTGATCACATACCTGTTAATTTTACAGAAGTTCCTGCTATTCCCCAAAACCTTTGAATGGAAAGACAGTTTTAAAAGTAGTACTGTTTCACAGAAGTCCTCGGGAAGCTTCACACAATCTCTTAGTAAGGATTCAAACTCTGGCTTGCTCTCCTGCTGTATTTTCTACTTCACCCTGGGACTTCTCACACACACAGGCTTTACCTTTCCTTACAAATATTTTTCTTTAAAAATACAAATCAACATTCCCAAATGTAACAAGTATGCTTTCAAGTACAAGGCTGTGAATTTAACGTCAGGACTGAGTCTCAATTCACACTGAACATGTACTGACCTTTCTTTACTTTGAAACACAAGGGTTCTTTACAAAGAGTCTCACACAACTGGGAAACATCAAGCCAAAATCTGCTGTCACCATGTATTCAATTAAGAGCACTTGTCTGCAGCAGCTTGGCATCAGATTTATGCTAGTTTAACAGACAAATCCTGTCCTCGGTGTAATCAGAGTTCTAAGAAACAGAGCACTGCATTTCCCAGTAGCAACAGGCAGGCTGAACCTGAAAGAGGACAGACAGAAATTAAAGTATTTCTAATTCAGAATTATCTGTCAAGAACTGAGAAGAGATACCCTTCATAAAAGGTTATTCAGGGTATTTAAGTGGCCTAAAATAATTTAAGCCAAGTTTATTTCTAATGATCAGCAAATTCTGCAGATTCCACTCTGCCCCAGGAACATCAGCCTTTCTGCAATTACTGTTTTCCCACTGCAGCCTAGGTTCAGAATCTTTGAGATTGCACTACACTTCCTCATTTGCTATTTAATATCTTCATAGATCTAGATATTGCTTTTAGTAGTCCAGATACTGAAGCTTCAAACAGAAAAATCTCAGTTAGTACCAAAACATACAGCATATTGAATTATTATGCCGCTTTCGAAAGACAAATTCTCTTACCAGGTACAGTGCACAAGTTTTTCCACAAATTATATTTGACAGGTTCGGTCATCATATTGAAAACATCACTGAAGCTTAAAAACTCTAAAAGACAAATACCAACTTGATTTTATTTCTGAATGTCAGTCCATGCATAGCATGAGAGATGCACCATGTTTGGGAGATACTACAATACACAGGATCTTCAAAAGATTAAAATCCAAGAGGAGATTAGCTGAGATTTCTCCCATGGTTTAACATGATCTTGCTGAGCAGTATTTTCTAGAGGGCTGCTCCGAAAGTGCTATTTTCATTTAGTGCAACTCAAAGCCTGCATGACAGACAGAAGTAACAAACAAAACACTTAAAAGTGGCAAAGACACTTCTATGACAGTGTTGCAGAGTGGTGATAGGACTTACAGTGAAGTAAGGATTTCGGAACGCAGGACCTCAACCTGGAGAATCCCAACCTAAATACACACAGGTCCATTCCTATTTCGATTCCACTTTTGTGGAAAAGGCCCTACATTTACATCTCAAGGTAGCGTTAGGAATCAACTTTTAACCCAGTAAAGCAGTTGTTGGTGATCTTGGTCTGCCTTCACATAGACTTACAAATGTATTAACGTATTAACTAGTCCCTGTTTGTAGCAGAAAATATATATCTGTAGTAATCCAATTAAAAAAGTTCAAGTAAGTCAAGTAGTCAAACCACAGGTGTATTGCCCACTAATGCCCATGCCAAGGAGAATACATTCCTCTCAACAGAAGGAATGTTCAGAAAAGTAACACTCATCTTGCTCTACTAACTTAGGTCAAACTTTCTGTATCGCATTAGTAACTGAAGGGACTACATAATTAAACAGGTAACAGCAGCATGGGGAGTCACATCAAGACATGGTCCAAAAGATTGTTTCTATCTCTTAAATTGAAGAATTTTTTAAAATAATGATAAAAAAATAGAGAGCGCACTCCAGAACTCTTCTTTGTAGCCTATCCCTTTAGGACATGAAAGCAAACAATTTTCAGAATACACCATATTTAAGATAGTCTTTAAGGCACCATTTGCAACATTTATGGAAAAGGACATGTGAAAACAAAGTGTATTACAATATCTTAATACAGTTGGCAAATTCTAATTGATTGTGAGGTTACAAGAGATGTGATCTCCCTTTTCATCTCCTCTTGCAGGGCTTCTCTCATTCCATTTGACCTCATGTTCCATCCTCAGAGGAATTACATCAAGACTGGATCCCCAATACCATGGTCTGGGTTGCAAGTGAAGGAGATGGTGATGGCGTAGCGAGTGCCCCAGCGAACCTTTTCCACCCGATGAAGGTTCTCCGATCCAGAGGTGAAAAAGGAAACACGGCCTGTAAAGACAGAGTATTTAATCAGTGACATGGAGTTTGCTGCTCAGCTATCAGCTCTCTACACTGTTTTGCTGTTGTCTCAGTCCAACTGTTCCCTAGCTACCTGAAAGCCCATCGGTCATCACAAATACAAACTGTTACGAGCTTATGCTGCATTCTGACAGCTTTACGTACTGTTTAAAATGTACGTTAATCCTTTGTGCTACAAAGCTGGAGACTAATTCCACCGTATCTCATAGTTTATCAAAGGCAGGAGGAAGCCAAGATAATCTGAAGCCAGTTCTTAGTTGCCTCAATTAAAAAAAAGCAACTCTAGTGACTGTCAGCAAAGTGTATTGATTTCCTCCCTGCTCCTCTTCTAGTCTGGGCTCTAATTTTAGACCAAAGAAGGAGGAAGTACTACAAAGGTGGCAAAAAGTCTTCAGTGAAAAAATGCTCTGCAGGTTTACAAGCAGCTGTGGCCGCTTATCAGCATGGTACCAAGTATTCGCTCTAGCTTTTTGTGCACAGTCTGATCACTCACTGTTCAGCTAGGTTAGAAAGTTATGTATCAGTCATAAGCAAATTATTTTTCCTTAGAAAGAGCCACTCCATCAATGCATTGGCTTGGAAATTGTTTTATAGATGCAAGTGCTCACTCCTGTGTTTCATCCTGTCCAAGCTTTGACCACCACTCTGCCTTGGGGTTCTCCAGGCCTTAAGTGGCATCAAGGTGAAACGCAGTTAGTTTGATAAATGACAGCAGAGGTATATTAGCACCCTAGTTGATGAAACAGCAGAATGGAGCCCTCTGCACTTTCATATTATTAAACTGTTCTGAGAACATGTAAGTTTGACGTTTAGCAAGTAACTCGGAACTGACGCAACTCTGTAGGACTGCTCAGGTTCTCCTGAGAAAGCTAGTAATACTCATATGCACAGCTGTTTTATCCCAATAGCATGTGTTTTTCCTACTCAGGCTTTTTTTCCACTGTTCAAATTAGATTCAAGTTTGCTAAAAAGCTTATTATCATAGGGAACTCATATTGACAATTTAACTCTGCCTAGGACTCATTCACATTCAGGCACAATTAAACCCTTAGATGCCTACTTAAAATTTGCACAACAAGATAAACTATTCCAACCGTTACACAATCTCCACTGCAGAAATAGGCACCAGACACGTAGCTGGTTTTTAATTCTAAAAGTGATCCATAAGATCCAGAAGTTACTTTGCTTGCATACTCCTAAGCAGCACACCTGGGAGATCTGAACAAAACTAGACTGGCCTTACAGAGTTTGGTTTACCCACTAATCTCTCAAGTCTATTTGAGTAGCCTCTGTGTCCCTTGCATGTTCAGTTGCAGTTCATATTTAATCTTTCATAGTTCACATAGTCTTTTATAACTGCCAAGCAGAAGTTGTATCATACTCTTCTCTGCCTGTGGCTGCACATCAATAATTAGTAAAGCTATAGAAATAAAGAATAGATTGGTTCATATGCACAGCTCATTTACACCTTGGTGTCCTGCTTTTCTGGATGAAAGACCAAATGAAGGCAGTGTACTCCTGTCCTATGAGTGTTGCAAATGAACAGCACTACCCTCAAGGATTTCATTCAAAGTCCCCTTGTCATTTTTTTTTTTCTTTTAAATCTTATTTCAACATCATTCAAATACTTATCAGTCCCTCACCTCCTCATCGAAGCTTTGCCTTAAACTGATTTTCAAGCTTTTTTGTTTGATCTTTTATTAGAAGTAGTAGTAATTCAGAGTTCGACAAGTTTCAGTGTATTGTTTAAGCCAGTTAAACTGGATTTTTTTGGCTATACAGAATGTCTTTTAATTTCTTTAATAAATATGTCTTCATATATATGGTATCTTATAGCTCCTTGTGCATCTGGTCTCACATCTGTCAACTGGGGTCTCCGAGTCACTGAACAAGCCTACAGTCAATTTTCAAAGATACTTTTTCCTCACTTGAGAAGAATTTCTTTTAAACTTACTTCCTTTGCAAAATTCTGAAGCAAAAAGCACACTCTCCATGGTACACTACTTTTAATAGTAAAAATGTTTAAAGAGGGTAAAGTGTTAATTCCCATCCCATCTGACAAAACCTTCAAGGGATATATGGCAATACGATTATCCAGAGTCTCCTGGGAAAAGACACAAGATAAAATAAAGCTATACTATTACCAGATAGAATGAATTCTAGGACTTTCAAGCACACCAAGACTGAACCCTTCATAATCTTGCTTCAATACACAATATATAGAAACCACTTCAAAAAGGAAATTGCTACAAGAAAGCAAGCAGGTCAGGACTAAGCAAGTTCCTTAAGAAAGTGTGCACCTGCTCCGAGGTTATAACCTGTCCTTGTTCTAGCTATTTTTTTGATCAATTTTGAGTTAAGACTTTTAAACCCCAAGGTTCCAAACCATGAACCATATTAGCAAGTTAGTAGGATCACATGCAATATGGGTCTGGTTTTGGCTGGGAGATTGCATTCGAAGTGTTTAAAGTGCACTTTTAAGTGTTACACGCTGCCACAACTAATGTAGCTATGATAGGATTTCTCTCACTGTGAATGGTGAGGAAGACATGCATAGGGCAGGTCCACTAAACTATCCAGAGTATGAAATATCGATAGAGTGAATGCTAAGCTTCATAAGAGATTAGTGTTGTATTACAAATGCTAAAGAATGGCTATGCAACTATTCATTGCAGATAAAAGTACATATGTACTTACAATTTCCTGATGAAACATTTTTGAGCAACAAAAGCTCAGGAGAAAGTGTGTAAAATTCTAATCTCATTACCTTTGTCCTTTTCTTTCATTATTTAACAACGGCCTCAAATCAGTCTTTTCGTTGTCTTCTCCCCTCCTCTGACCTGCCTGTGCAGATTTCTTTCCAACATGTTTTTCTGCTCCACTAAAGAAATCCTGACTACCACCTCCTGGCACATAATTTCAGTTCGATTTATGAACACTTACCATTAAAAGTGTAAGCTTTTTTGAGATCTCAGGCTAATACTCAATACAATTTTACAGTGTATTATCTAACCAAAAAAGAGAAAGTGTTTAATCCCTGGTCCTTAAGGGATGAACTTTTGGAGGGGAAGAAACAGCAATGGGATCATCTCCTGTTTTGAGGTCCATGCTTCTAATCTTTCAGAAAGAGGCCAGTCTGAGCTACATTCTGAAGGATGAAGATTAGAATGGAGGTGTCCTGGAGTTGGAAGAGATGCCAATGGTAAAAAACAAAGGATTGGTTTTTTCCACTGAGATAAATCTGTAGTCTGAAAACTACGTCATTCTGATTGTGAACATTTGACTGATTTTCCCCAAACACTGCAAGATGCCAAAAACTCCATCACTTCTTTAGTTTCATGATGCTTTGACTATTACCTCAACCTCAGAGAAGAGTTTTAGATCCGTAAGTCAAAGAACCATGGGTTGCCCTCTCACATCTACTATCTATCATCTCCTCCCCACCTCTACTTTCCATTCCACAAGAAGTCAATCAGGCAGAGGATACCACAGCAATTATGTTACACCCTAGAGCATTTAGTGCTTTTAACACTTGGACATACAGTCTCCATATGAGATAAAAATACTCACATTTTGTAGACACTTCTATCAATGATCTTTCCTCCTTTCTGCCCACAAACACTTAAAACTTCTTTATAGCTGTTCACAGCTGGCTTCAAGATTTCCATCAGGTTGTCTACTAATAGGGGAGTGAGCTGTACTTCAGTCTAGTTCCCATGGAAGAGTGCAACAATGGACTGAAGGAAGTTCCTCCCACACAAATGCACTTGTTCTTGCCCTTCTTATTAGAAAAGCAAAAATCCAAAGAATTGGAAAGATTTGTGGTAGCTTCAAGACCTGCAGGAGCCTGCTTCAAAATTATTAGCTTGCCTGCGTTTCTCCACAGGAGCAGCAGTAATCAATCCTGGCCTTTGATCTCTATTTGACAACAATACCTGAATCTACAGCTTGTTTTCTCTTCCTTTCTATGTTTTCTCTACTTGCCAGCAGTAAGTGCTAGGAAGTGCATTTCAAAAAGGAGTTTGGTCCAATAAAAGCTTAGCTGATGAACTTCTGTTCCTTGCAGACCGCAGATAGTGTTATTGTAATGCAGTTGCTCCCCTTTCTAGTTCACAGATACACCTCCAGCTCTGCTGCTGTGCTAGGATTAGTCAAGAGTTTCATCCACAGGTGGAGCTGCTTCTCTGTCCCTAACTTCTGTGGTCCTTAGGCATCCACACAAGTTTTAAAAACTTAAGAGTAAGCAAAGGATAAATTGTATTGGGGATGAAAGAACTACTGTCATGGAAAACTCAGGGTGCAAACTCATTTAAATATGCCACCCTCTCAACTCACCACCACAGCATCCATCAAAACCGAGCCTGGTCTTCGGTGTCACTGACACAAGTCAAGCTCTTAAATGCTGTCAAGCTGAGAAAAGCTTGTGATGTGAAAAAACAGGAAAGAAAAATTACCTCTAATTCTATTAGAGGTAACCACTTATTCTCTTGACTTTCTGACAATCAATTTTTGCACCGATCCACAGGAATCATTATTTATGAACACATGCAAGTGCCAGTCACAAGCTCCACTGCTATGAATTTTATGTGATTCTAATTTAGATGAAGCAACACTGTTATTTTCAGGAATAATACCTAACAAGCAGCAAAAGCAACAGGTATTTCACTATGCAGTAATTATGTCCCATTTAATTACTCAAACAAAACCACTAGAGGAATATATGTATTAACTATGAGCTTTTGCTTTTCTGTACTTTTGCTTTCCCAGATTTTAATCACAGTCATAATTACCCCTTAGCAATGAATTCTTTTTAGATGTACTCAGAAAATATAACCACCACAAGAAGCAGCATACAGGTGGGAAAAAAAAGGCATTCAGCTATATTATCACAGTAAAAATGTCAGTATTCCCATAAGGCTTGCTCTCAGAAGATTTTATCCATGTTGAATTTTAACACCCAGTTGCACTTC